GGGAACCTCCACAACCACTTCCCTAGAAGAGCCATATTCCTTCTCCTAACACTCCCGAGCCCCAAACCACCACAAATTTTACTCCTGGACACTACCTCCCAGCTGACTCTATGATCCTTCTTCTCCTCTCCCGGCTCCCACAAGAAGTCTTTCATCAACTTCTCCAACCTATTAGATAMCTTCACTGGGATTTTGAACACAAACAGGAAGTAGATGGGTAAATTAGCAAGGCGTGACCTCAATCAGTGTAACTCTTCCACCAAGAGAGAGGTAATTCTTTTTCCAAGAGACCAATCTTTTTTCAAACCTTTCCACCACCGGGTTCCAAAAGCTCTCCCTCGTAGGGTTGTCACCTAATGGTAACCCTAAGTAATTCAATGGCCACACTGACACTTCACACCCCAACACTTTTGCACTCTCCCTGATCTCTCCCTCCTCCATATTCACCCCTGCTACACAACTTTTCCCAAAGTTCACCTTCAAGTTAGACATTTGCTCAAACAGTTGTATCACCAACTTCAAGTTCCTGATAAAGCTCGCATTGCCACCTTTACAGAATAGAATCGTGCCATCAAAAAACTGTAAGTGAGTGGGGGGTTTCCGTCCTCCCGGCTCTCAAACCTCTAATGAGACCCCTCGAGTCTGCTCTGTGAATCAATTTCCTCAGGACCTCCGCAATTAGTATGAACAAGAAAGGAGAGAGAGGGTTTCCTTGTCTTATACCCCTACTGGCTGGAAAGAACTTTACCACTGTCCCATTCACTAGCACTGAATAATGACAATTCCGGACACAGCCCATGATCCAATTGCACCATCTACCACCAAACCCAAATTTGATCAAAACTTTCCTCAAGAATTCCCAGTCCACCAAGTCATAAGCCTTTTCCAAGTCCAACTTACAGACCACTCCCTTCTTTTTAGCCTTCTTAAAGTTCTCCACACTCTCATTAGCAATTAAGATTTGATCAGTGATTTGTCTTCCACTCACAAAAGCTCCTTGATTTTGTGCGATGATGTTTGGCAAAACCTCCTTCAACCTCAATGACAACACCTTAGCAATGATCTTGTACGGGCTATTAAACAAGCTAATTGGCCTAAAGTCCTTTGGGTGGGAGGCATCTTTCTTTTTTGGAATCAGAGCTATAAATGTAGAGTTCACACCCGGATTGATAATTCCTCTTTTGAAAAACTCCTCAAACACCAGCAAAAGATCATCTTTCAAAATATCCCAATAGTCCTGATAAAAAGCCATTGTGAACCCATCCGGCCCTGGAGCTTTTGTTCTATCCATAGAAAACATAACCTCCTTAATCTCTTCCAAATCAAATCTTCTTTCCAACCTTCTCCTATTCTCCACCCCTACATCCGGCCAATCCAAACCTTCTACTTACCGGCCTTCTTAGAATAGGTTTAAAGTGCTCCACACAAGCCCCGGCTATCTCCTCTTGTTGTGTTAACTCAACTCCACCTACTACCAATTTGGAGGTAAAGTTCCTCCTTTCATCCGCCAAAGAGTGAAAATACCTAGTGTTTCTGTCTCCCTCCTGCAACCATTTACACCAAGATTTTTGCCTCCAGCTTATTTCCTCCTTATGCAGGCAATCCTCTATCTTCTCAAGCCTCTCCTGAGTTCCTTATCTTCCTCTCCAAATTCTCCCCTTTCTTCTTTAGAGTCAATGTTTTCAAGTTGGTCCATCAGCRYTTTCTTTCTTTYYTCTAACCTCCCAAACTCCAAAAGATTCCACTCCTTGACCTTTGCTTTCACAAATTGTAGTTTCTTATGGAATCTTATCCCCTCCCAATCCACCATTGGGTTACA